TATCCAGCCCTCTCAATTTTTGGCAAATAGATGGGGAAGAAATGGAGGTAGTGACAGATTTTATTTACCTGGGCTCCAAGATCACCATAGATGGGAACTACAGCCAAGAAGTTAAAAAATGCTTGTTCCTGGGGAGGAAAGCTATGGCAAATCTAGACAGCAGAAACATCACTCTGCCAACAAAAGTGCGTATAGTCAAGGCTATGGTTTTCCCACTTGCAATGTATGGCTGTGAAATTTGGACCATAAGGAAGGCTGAGTGCCAAAGAACTGAGGCCTTTACACTATAGTATTGGAGAAGACTCCTGCGAGTCCCTTGGACTGCAAGGTGATCAAACCGGTCAATCCTAGAGGAGATCAACCCTGACTGCTCTTTAGAAGACCAGATCCTGAAAATGAAACTCAAATAGTTTGGTCACCTAATGAGAAGAAATATATCATGCCCTTGGTGGAGACTGACTCTGAGGGACAGGAGGAACAGCCAACAGAGAGTGGAAGTGTGGCTCCAGAGGTTGTGTTGGAGGCTGGGGAAGGGCAGGGCTGAAGGGAAGGGCTGGCTGAGCAGTCAGGAGGACCCAGGCCCATCCCCTATCCATCCTAGGGCACGCAGGGAGGAGAGGATAAGGGAGAGACATGGTCTCCTCGGGAGGAGAGGGCCTTGATCCTCTTCACGGGCTGCAGCTGTGACAACTGAATAAAAGTATGGACCTGCGTACTGGTGAACGCTGGAAACAAAGTGTGTAAATATCTCTAGTTTATAGTTCCTCTCTGAGTTTGGCGTCCTTCCCAGTGTGTGCTATCTGTGGACATCCTCCATCCCTTATCTTGCCTGGTTTGTGTTGCTTTTTTGCCTTCTTCATGTAACTGTTTGTGTGGGAGCTTTTTGTTTTCCATCAAAGATATTTGGAACATGGAAGCAAAGTGAAGGAATAAAAGAGGCTTCACCTGTTTCCTGTGACTGTGTTTGTTTTTTATCCCACCCTGGGTCATCACAGAAGGACTTACTTGAGAAGAGCCTAATGCTGGGAATGATTGAGGGCAAAAGAAGAAGGGGATGACAGAGAATGAGGTGGCTGGATGGAGTCACTGAAGCAGTCAGTGTCAGCTTAAATGGACTCCAGATGAAGGTAGAGGACAGGAAGGCCTGGAGGAATGTTGTCCATGGGCTCACAATGGGTCAGACACAACTTCACAACTAACAACAATAAATGATTTATAATTCTATCTTTGGCATGAACCCAACCTGGTGAACTCAACCAGTCTCTTTTAGTCCTAGAATATAGGCAACAGCAAACTACTTCTAAAATCTTTCCAAGTAAACTTCAGGGACTTGTCTAGACAGTTGCTTGGAATTACTTGAAGGGACCAAAAAATAAAATAATGAGATAATTAAAATTAAAATTAAAAATATAGAACTAAGGGTGAAAGGGTTTAATTCTACTAAGGTTATTCCAATTCACTCCTTGAAATAATATATAATATATTTACAGCCCTCTCTAAGTGGTTTACAGCTGTAAATATTGAATTTTTTATTTAAAAAAAGAGCAACTTTTACCCAAAATCAGGCAAAGCAGGCAGATTGAATTGCTCACAGAATCATTCAGTGATCTATCTATCTGCCATCAACTAGCTCAGTCTCTCAAATTTACTTGCCATGAGTCTGCACTGAATTTGCTTGCAAGCAAACCTTCAGTCCTAAGGGAGGTTTGGCTGTACTTAAAAGTAGAGCCAAAGATCTAAAGACTAGCTAGAAAGCAAGAAATCAAACCATTTCCTGCTTCCTAGCTAATCTAAATTTCCCAGCACAGCAGAACAGCTGATGGTCGGAAAAAGGAAAAATAGCAACTTAACAGGCAAGTTTGCCAGGTAAGGAGTGAGGAGGGCGAGGAGAGTTCCCGTGGGCCATGTGGGTGGTGCAGCGTTGTGTTTCTGCACAGCCTGGATTTATTGCTTTGGGGGGGATGCTCTGGGGGTGAGATTTATTGCTTTGGGGGGGATGCTCTGGGGGTGAGATTTCTCTGCGGCCCACCAAAATTTTCTCGCGGCCCACCAGTTGGCGACCACTGGTTTACAGAGTCAGCCTATTGCCCCCAACAATCTGGGTCCTCATTTTTTTTTTTGAAACAAATTTTATTGATTTTAAAGACAAACAAACCATCGTTAATCTTTAAATACATAAAACCTCCATTATTAACTTTACAAGTCAAATAAAATATTATTTTATACAACATCATTCTGTTTTTCACCATTTCAATATCATCTTCATTCCTCTCTGTCTTGTTTAACATTATTCTCATCCAACATTCCTCTGAGGTTTTATTAATTCTCAAAGAAAACATAGACATACAAAACACAAAAACATAAAAACTTCTTTTAAGAAAGTAGTTTGGCCCCAGATTACCTCTCTTTGTATGGACTTCAGTTAAATTCGTGCTCATCTTATATACCATTACCTATCTTATTTACCATTCTATATCTTCTATATAACTTCTCCCTGCTTTTCACTCTTCTTATTTCTATTTTATTTAATTCATTTTAATTTAAATCATTATATTTATATTTTTTGTCCATTCTCCAAATTATCCATTTATCTCATTCCCTAGAGCAAATTAAAAAAAAAAAAAGAATTTCTCCTGAAATCGCTGATCAAGGTATGATGCCTTTCTATCCTCCCCCTAAAAATATTTAAAATTCCCAATCTGATTCTGCTTAGTACATTCAACCTACTAACCTCTAAAGAAAGAAAATAATAAATCCATAATAATTAATATAATTAAATAATAAATCTAAATTTTAAATCTTATAACATTCCAATTGTCTATTTCAAGAAACAAGTGCTACAATAATGAGTTTATAATAAGATCAAAACAACAGTAAATTAAACTTTTTAATTAAACTCAATATTTTAAACATTCCTTTTAATCTTTTATTAAATTTTAAAATCTATCATTACTAAACATTTCAATATTTTAATCTTTTGTTAATTCTTATAACATTCTAGTTTTCTATTTCTGATACAACTACTACAATACCATCTTATGTACCTTGCAGAATCTTCTTTTTTAAAGAAATTATACATTACCCTTTATCCCTAAACAAAATTCCTTTTTTCCCATCTTGTTTTATACCTTTGTGGCTTTTCCCTCCCTTTTCCCTTCCTTTCTTATCCCACCTAACCTTTTTTCCTCCCCCTTTAGCTTCCCCTCTCTGTTGTATTCCTTTCTCCTTTTGCTCAATAACATTAACATTGAGTTGGTTTTGCATCTTATTTTTTCCTTTCTTAAGTATTTTTTTTAAGTCTTAAGTCCTTCATTTTCCTTCCTTTCTTTCTCCTTTCTCTCTTAACTAAATTTTTAGATTCATTAAAGATGGCGTCTTCTTCTTCTCCTTCCATTTCTTCCATCTGTTGTTGTATTTGATAATTAACAAGCGCCATTTCTAAAAAGAGAAAGGCTTCTTTCACAGCGTCCTTTCTTTCTTCATATTCTCTAAGTTCATCAACAGATAAAGCCATTCTTTATTCTTCTTCTTAAAGCAACCAAAATGTTTCAAAAATTAGAGCAATTCCCCAAAGTTCCAGAGAGAGTCAATCAGTCCAAACAATACACAAAGTTCTCACTTTCTCTTCCTGGGGAGGTATCAAAGGGAAAGGAAAAAACCTCCAATCTATACTTTAAAGCCTTATTGCAATTAATTTCTGGTCTCAAAATCTTCAAGGCATCCCCTCCAACAAAATCTTAATTATATATATATATATATATTTGTCCTCTTCCTTCCCACTTAAAACAAGAAGCCAAGTTTTTACCTTTTATAAAAAAATAACAGGTTTCTCAATGGCCATTTGTTCATTCCATAAGGAAGGAGAGTGAACTTTCCCTTTCAGCACTCAATTTTGCCGCTTATAATCCTCCTCTGGAAACAAAGTGTTGTTCAAAAAACCATAGTTCTCAGGATTAAATGCCTCTTAAAATCCTGGGTCAGCCAAAAAAACTTTCTCTTGACAACTTTCTCCTCTCTTCTTCCTGCTCAATCTTGCCCAGCTGCCGGCTTCTTTGAGGCGGCCATTACAGACCGCCGCTCGACCGTCTTGGGAAAAGGGGGTTTTGCCGGCTGGGAAGGGGGTCTGCAACACCCCCAAACCCCTCACCAGCTCCTCCTTATCTTCGGCTGCCTCTTCGTGGCAGCCCCAGCCTCCAGATCCGCGGATCGGAGACACCAAAGCGGCTAGCGCGGCAGGGATCGCGCAGGATCGCAAATCCCTGCCGCTAGCAAAGCCGACAAACCGGAAGCTCCAATCTGGGTCCTCATTTTATCCACCTCGGAAGGATGGAAGGCTGAGTCAACCTTGAGCCTGGTGAGATTCAAACTGCCAAATTGCAGGCAGCCACTAGTCAGCAGAAGTAGCTGGCAGTACTGCACTCTAACCACTGTGCCACTGCAGCTCTTTTTATCATTTTAACTTTTTACTATTTAACCTTATCTGGGAGAGATATAATGATGGAAGCCACTTTCAAAGGAACCAATGCTATTCATTTTCCAGTAGGCAGGAAGAACATTTGTCTTATGTTTGCTTTTCCTGGCTTTAAAAAGGAGTCTGAAATAATTGCCTTACTAAACTTGCTCTGGCTGCAAGGTCAGCCACGTGTGATTCTTAGAAGTTTTCAATCTTCTTAGCAAACATTTTAATTACATTCAATCTAGTGATATTCAGTGAACTAGCTATTTCCAATATTAATCTAAACCAGGACCTGGGCTGAGGGCATTAATCTGGTAATACTAGTTCAACAAGGTCTGTAGTCTTGCAGCCTATTATTTTCTCCTAAGATTTCCAACCAATTTATCTTGATTTCCCTCTTTTAAAATCTTTCTTACACTTGCACGAATATCTTTATGGCTTATTACCCTGTGATCCTTTCCATGTGATCAGCTGAGCTACTTTCTGAGCAAGATGACGTGGGCTGGCATTTATAAAGTAATGTGGTTGCTTTGTTTCTTCCTAGTTTCCATGAGATGGGATACTATGACATTCCAGCAGTCATAAACTTTATCCTGAACAAAACCAAACAGCAGCAGCTTTATTATGTGGGCCATTCAGAAGGCACAACTGCTGGTAAGTTGGCAAATCTATGAGCAGGGATGAATGGGGGAAATTACTACAGTCCATGGATTGCAATTGTGCATCTTGGAATATACAATTAGACGATGCATCTCTCCTGGCAAATAGTTTATGGAGGAGGCCAAGTCAGGAAGAATTGAACAAATCAACTTCTGAATTCCTATTTATCATGAGCCACTTTTAAATGCTTGGCTCATCTAACCCAGCCCTTCCTCTTAAGAATTTTCAGCAATTAGCCTTTCCAAAATCTACACAAAGATAAACTAGGACCAGGAGTGGGATATGACAGGGTTAAGTACCAGTTTGGGATTTATGAGCTTCCCTGCCTGCTGTGAGCCCAGCACCTGTTAATCGTAATTAGCACGCTGCTGTGCCAAGAAGCAGCCTTTGAAACATCTCTTTTTTCTTGTTTTTTTAACTGCAGTGTGCCTCATTTGGCAGCTGAAGTTGAAAAATCAGGAAATAAAGATCAGGTAAGAGCCTGGGTGGGCGGGTGGGCAAAAACATCAGAAGACATAGAACTGCTGCTCTTCAGAGCTACCGATTCTGCAGAGGTGGACAGAACCAGTAGAAACACACCCCTGCCTATGACTTTTGCATGTAAACAATGTGTTCTAGCATGAAGGGATATTCTTTTTTTTTTTTTTTTGGTAAATTTTATTGGTTTTTAAAAACAAACACAAACAAAACATAAAAACATCAAACTATCTTCCATAGATATACAAACAGTGTGCCGGTTGGTTTTACAAATTGTTTTGTGCATCCATTTCGTAGTCTTCAATTACAGTTACATTACATAAAAGCTCACACTATCAATCAAAAACTAAATACCCTAGTATCTTTATTAATCAGTCATTTGACCATAGTTTTATTCATTCGTATTTTACGAGATAACCATAATTTACTTAGTTTATTTTATAACAATTCATATTATCCTCCCAAATCTATCCTAAAAACATTTTGTAGATATAATAAAAAGGAAGTACATCTTTATATATTTATTATTTTCTAAAAATCTACATATTTCATTACTGTATTTTATTATCTAACCATTGATAGAAAAGGTCCCAAATTTTATAAAATTGTTTATCCTCTTGTTCTCTAATTTCAAATGTCAATCTACTCATTTCAGCACATTCCAATATTTTCTTAATGATTTCCTCCTGCGATGGTATTTTCTCATTTCTCCAGTTTTTAGCAAATACAATCCTAGCCACTGTTAATACATTTACAATCAGGTACCTCAAATCTTTGCTATATGTTTCAGGTAAAATTCCCAATAAAAATATCTCTGGTTTCAAATCTATATGGTTTTTTTGTCATTTTTTCCAACCACATGTGGATTTTAGTCCAGTATTTTTTAGCATCCGCACAAGTCCACCACATATGGTAATATGAGCCAGGTGTCTGATGACATTTCCAACATTTTTCGGATTTATTCTTGAACATTCTTGCTATTCTTGTCGGGGGAAAATGCCACCTGTAAAACATCTTATACAAATTTTCTTTATAAGCTGTTGACATTGTCATCTTATAATTTTAGCATGAAGTGATATTCTTGTGTTTCCGCAATTTTCTTCTGGTTGATCAATGAAGGCACCTGAATCATGTAATGCATCTTCCCATTGTGAACATGAGAAGAGGAAACAGATATTTCTCACTCTTCTGCATCTCACTCTCATCACGCAGTCCAGCTGTTTGATGGCAAACCAAAGATGCAATCTCTTCCATGCATTGTGTATGGAATGCACAATTACTATATACCCTGCAGATATACAGGAGGAAGAAGAAAAACAATACAGTAGCTGTTTAACGTAAAACTTTACTTTCTTCAGGTTTCATCTCATTCTCTTCTTGGCCAGAACTGGCTGAAAAAATCAAAGTTTTTTTTGGAATGGGACCTATAGCCACACTAACATATGCTACAACTCCAGTATTAAAAATCTGGGTGTATCCTCCACTGTTTCGGGTAAGTACCTATGTTGATGTATAATCCAGTCAAGTGCCATATTCCAAAGAAAGGTACACTAAGTAATGAAAGCTATCAGTAGATGTAGCTTAAAAAGGAGGGCTCTTCTGATATTGATTTTTAAGAAAAGAAGGCATAAATAGCACCCCCTGCCAAAACCTGGCTGGGAGGGCTTTGCACAGATTTGTCTGATGCACCAATTGCAGCCTTTCCTGGTTCAGGAGGCATTGCTCATGGTCATCCTGGAGCCTAAGACATACGATGAGGAATGGTTGCAGGAATTGGGCATGGCCAATTACTACCAGTTCTGTGGGCATTGCTTGATGGGTGTGGCATGGCTTGTTGGGCGTGGCTTGTTGGGCATGGCAGGGGAAGGATACTGCAAAATCCCCATTCCTTCCCCACTCCTGAGGGAAAGTTACTGTAAAATCTCCCTTCCCTTCCCATCCCATCCCACTAACCTGCTTTCCAGCTCTGTTCTCCTGTACAGGGCAACAAAAGAAGACCCAGCCGATCAGCTGGGAGGCAGAGAATAGATGGAGAATAGTCAGAGGTGGCATTTGTCCGTTCTCCGAACTACTCAAAATTTCTGCTACCGGTTCTCCAGAACTGGTCAGAACCTGCTGAATACCACCTCTGTTATGCCATACATTTATGAAGTGGTTGTTTCATTCCACTTCATAACCACTTCATAAACCTACCTTCTGCCAGGTCACTTAGACTCCCTTCCTTTAAACACTATTAGAGGGGAGCTAGGAAGTGGGCAGTACCTGTCCTAGGAAATGCTTCACTGCCTAAAGTTCAAGGGTCACCCTTTTAGCCTTCCATAAGGCTGTAAAGTCCTGCCTCCACACCCCCACCCACCCCCGAGCTTTGAGAGAAGATTAGATAATGGGGCATTAACCTGAGTTGCACCAGTTTTTATATTTTCACTGGTTGTGTTTTATAGGTTTTAACAAGATTTTTTTTTAACCACTGGGAGCCACCAGAGTTGGCTGAAAGTTATAAAAATAAAATAAAAATAAGAAAATAAAATAATCATATAAAATAAAATCAGAAAATAAAGTAATAAAAACTTCATAACTGACCCCAGTTTGTTTTAAGGGGAAAAAAATCATTAAATTTATTATATGGTATGTGAAGATTATTAAATTAACTATATTTCATGGATATAGTTTTAATCAAAAATAGCCTAAATTAAACCAACTTTTGTGTTTTTTTTCTTATCCGCCTTTTGGAATTTCAACTCTCATGTACCGTGCAAAGAACCACTTTGTGTATTCCTGAACTAAGCAGTTTCTGTTTAAATTTATGGTAGGAGGGAAGGCTAGGGTTGACAGCAGAGGTGGGATTGGGGTGATATTTGATCAGTACCAGTTAATTAATGAATAAATTAATTAATATATTTCAGACCCTGTATTGCTGCAGAAGAATTTTGAACTCTCCTACTTTCATCAGAAAACTAACCGCTCTGTTTTGTCATTTCCAACCTAAATTCTGCGAACTAGTTATGTCTTTTATAGCTGGTTCTAATACTCCCAATTTCAACATGGTATGTATAAAAGAAAACTGGGTCAGGCTTGGTTTCTATTAAATATGTAATGCCAGTTGCAAAATGTTATATTCGGCGTTGCTAACGTCTTGGCACTTCTGGCACGTGGTTACCCAGGCTGCAATCTGCTTATCGATGCTCGGCCACCATACGTAGCTTCGTGCGAGCGCCTTCATGCGCACGATGCCCGGATGTCCCTCGTGTAATACTTTTAAAACAGTCTGTTGTAGCCTCTCTGGGACGACTACTCTATCCCCCCAGAGAACGCAACCTCTCTGGGAGAAAAGCTCTGTCTGCCAATTCTTGAATGGTGCGAAATCGTCGTGGATTTGGTCGGCTGGCCATCCGCGTTTGACCCAGCTGAGGACTCGTGCCAGGACAGGATCCCGTTTTGTCTCGATCGCGTTGTCTCTCGCTGTTAGTGGCAGCAAGTGCAGCGTTTCGATTTGGAGCGTCGTGAGGGTTGGAGCTGGGTCGTCGATGGCTTCCGGAAGTGGAGAACGACTCAACGCATCAGCATGGGGAATGGCTTTCCCTGGGCGATGTTGCAACACGTAATTGTAGGCAGCTAGGAACTCAGACCATCGAGTCATTCTTGGTGATAATATATAGGGGGTTGGCTTGTCTCCCGCTATAATACCAAGCAATGGTTTGTGATCTGTAACTATCGTAAATGCTCGTCCATACACATACTCGTGAAAACGCTTCACAGCGGACACAACAGCAAGGGCCTCCTTATCGAGTTGGCTATAGTTCCTTTTGGCCTTTGATAATGTTCGTGAGAAAAACGCAATAGGTGTTTCATTTCCGTTTGGAAGTACATGGCTTAAGATTGCTCCCACTCCAAACGGTGAAGCGTCGCAAGTAATAGTTAAAGGTAAAGTCTCGTTGTACTGCATCAAAACAGCATCGGAGGTTAGCAAGTCTTTCACTTGTTGGAAGGCGCATTCCTCTCGAAGTCCCCAGACCCAGGTAGCTCTTTTATCAAGAAGTCTGTGTAAGGGCTCCGCTACAGTCGCCTTCTGGGGCAAGAAAATGTTGTAGAAGTTAATGAGCCCCAGAAAGGCTTGGAGGTCTGTTCTATTCTTGGGCGTTGGGGCGTTTTTAATCGCTTTTAGCTTGTTATCAGTGGGGTGGATTCCTTGACTATCGAGAAGGTATCCCAGGAACTCCACCCTCTCAGCACACAGTTGACATTTATTTTTTTTAACCTTCAGGCCGGCGTCTTTAAATTTCTTTAGAACCATTCTGAGATGCTTTTCTAAGATGTCTCTATTAGGGGCGGCGATTAAAACATCATCAAAATATGGTATGACCCCTTTTATGCCTTGTAAGAGTCTCTCCATTAAACTTTGAAAAATTCCCGGAGCTACGCTCACTCCGAATTGGAGTCTATTGCACTTAAAAGCGCCTCTATGCGTAACGATAGTTTGTGCTTCCGCAGTTTCCGCATCAACGGGCAACTGTTGGTACGCTTGTGCCAAATCCAATTTAGCGAATATCTTCCCACCACCCAGGGAGTGGAGAAGGTGTTGAACCACTGGTACCGGGTAAGCACTTTGCTGAAGTGCGTGGTTCAAAGTGGCCCAATAACCCCCACAAATTCTTAATGATCCATCTGGTTTAATGGGTGTTACAATTGGGGTTTCCCAACGGGTGTGGTCGGTTGGTTCTAAAACGCCCTGGGCTATTAATTTATCGAGTTGCTCGTCGATCTTTGGTTTTAGTGCAAAAGGCACCCGACGAGGCTTAAGGCGGATGGGAGCTACTTCAAGGTTGAGGTTAAACGATATTGGGGTCCCCTTGTACTTGCCTAGTCCGTCTGAAAAAACGTCCTGGAATTCTTGGACGAGAGACTCCTCCCAGTCGTTGCTCTCAGCTCGGTGGACGCCGGCTACCACGATCCCGAGCGGGGTGAACCATTGTAGGCCTAATAAGCTAGGCCGATCACGATCGATGACAGTCAGCGGTAGTGATGCAATACGGTTCTTGAAGGAGACTTGGACTTGGCTGGAACCAACAACCGGGATTCTGTTGCCCTGGTAATCCTTGAGGATGATCCTTTGGGGGCTGAGGTCCTGTCGACGGATGGCCGGGATTAGTTGCTTGAAGGTTTTCCAGGAAACCATTGAGAGGGATGACCCCGAGTCGACTTCCATCATGCAAGGTTGGTTCTCGATGGCGACCTTCACTCGGATCTTCCTTGCGTCTAAGGATGTAGCGTGGCCGATGGTAATGGTTTGGTGTGCCTCTTCCCGTCTCGTTGAAGAGGCAGGTGCTTTATTTCTGTAGGAGTGGTTGTTCCATTGGTGGTTCGGGTGGTTCCGATTCGCGGGTGCGAATCCCGAAGACTGGCTGCAGTTATTCTCCCTGCGCTTGGGACTGGACCCTCGCTTGCTTCTGCAGACCTTTGCAATGTGGCCTCTTTTTCCACAGGAACGGCAGAGTGCGTCAAGGAATTGGCAATCGGATCGTGGGTGGTTTGCCCCACAACCCGCGCATTGTCGCGGGAATCGTTGGTTTTGTTGGTCTCGTTCGGACCGGAGTCGGTTGACCTCTTCCTCATCACTTTCTGATGGGGATTCCAGGTCTTCATGATGCGCCGTTGTTGAGTGCCTCTCGGGGCGAGGCGAGGTGTCATTCGCGAGTTGACGGAGCAGTGCGTTGGTGCGGCGCATTCGAGCGGCCGACTTCCTGGTTGCTTCTGCTGCAGTAGTGTCTGCGATGGCATCGGCAAGATCGATGTCCCCTTTGGCCATGATCTTGCTTTGCACCATCTGGTCATCTAATCCCAGAACTATGCGGTCTCACAAAGCTTCTTCGAGGTTGGAAAACCCACAGAGGCCTCCCAAATTCCGGAGGTCAGCGATGTAGTCTGCGAGACTTTCGCTTTTCCGTTGGTCCCTCTGGTAAAATTCATGTCTTCGGACAAGTGTGCGCACTGCGGGTGCATAGTGGGCCTTTAGGAGAGGAGCGAGGGCGTCCCAGTCCATTGATTTCACTTCAGCCAGTTTTGCAAGTGATTTCGCCATTTTAAATACGGCTGGCCCGCAATGGGTCAGGAATATTGCTCGTTTCTTGCCGGTTGTCGCGTCCTTTAAGTTATTGGTCTCCAGAAACATCTGGAACCGATCCATATATGAGTCCCAGTCTTTGCTTGCCGGGTTAAATGGAGTGGGTGGTATAGCACCGCTGGCCATGTTGCCGTCGTTGGTGCGTGCTCAGCCACGTGCTCTGTTTGGTGCACTTTAGTGTTCAGTCAGCTCTATCGTCTCTTGCATCCCACCCTCGTCGCCAGTGTTATATTCTGGGCATGGGTGCAAGTAATTGAGATGAGTCAGTGACTTAGTGAACTTCAACTCTTTATTAAGGATCAGAAACAGAGACCAAAAACCTTGGTCAGCAGTAGACCTTTTATAGAGCTAGCTACTGACCTGTTAACCAATGACCTGTGTCCAAATGCTTAACTTTTGCCCAATGAGAGATGTTAAAATAATAACCAATCAGGTTGCTCCGTGAGGACCAATCCCAGTTCACTATCCAAGGGCCAATCCAAAATGCAGGATTTCAAGCCTGCTTAACATAATGTTAATAAGTTTTATTAAATGGTTTTTTGTTAGTTCATAACACAAACCATACCAGGTTGATCCTTTCAAAACAAACATTTCCTTTTCTGAAAAC